AAAATTATGCTAAATTATTAAACTTTAAGCTACAAATTTAAATGCAAAATAATATAAAAAATCACAAACTCTTTCAGTTCAAAGTCCTAAGCCTAATTCATGTAAAGACCTTGCACTTGCCACTCGATAGCTCTTAACTCTAACAATCGTGGATCAACTTTCCTATAAAACATATCTATTTTGAGTTAATTTTTCAATATAATGATTAACATAAATAGATATACGATGCAGCATGACTTAAGCTACTATATAAAAATAATAAAAGTCACATACGTCCCATGCAGTTTTTTCCAGAAGCAAGTTTTCTAATGCTTATAGAAAAGCACTATTGGCCAGTACTAAATACAATCTCTACATAAAATGGTAGTTACTATAATAAGCACCACCCACATTCATATTGTAAAATCCAGAGAACAACGTTTCGTAATGTCCTTTCCTTATCATCCTATGATTTGTGAAACGAGAGATACAGTGATTGGAATAACATGGTACTGAAATTAACACCTTCGACCAGGATTGGCTAAAAGTTTTACAACTGAGGGTTAACATGCTCAAACGCCGTTTTATAAAGAAAATAGACTAGAAAAAGGTTTAGATACCAATCATAGATGGCAGGACCAGTGCTGAAGTGGAAGGAAATATTTGTAAAAAATTTTGAAAACAAATTTTCTTCTTAGAGGGTGCTTATTTACAGTCTAAAATGTATTTTAGGATTTTTTTCATTAAATTCCTCTTTAAACTTCATTAAATAATACAATTTTGTACAAATAATTGAATGTTATGCTACTATTTACAAAAATAAAATCTCTATAATTTTTTCAATTCACAAATATGATTTTGCCCTCATGATAACATCAAAATGGCCACGGCAGATAACGGGTTAAGACCACATTCAGGCAAAGGAACCAGACAAGGTAGATGATGAATTAAGGACTGAAACAAGGTGGAAAGAAACGGGAAGGAAAAAACAAAACAACAGCAAAAAAAAAAAGGTAGCCAACAAGGCCACCTGATAGCCTTCAATCTTAGAAAATTCTAAATTATCAAACAATCAGGTAAGACTAAAAGGTGGGCAACAATGGGACCAGCAGATGGACCAGTAGTGAAAAACACCACTTGCATCGATAGACAGAGAGTAGAAGGGTGACACAAATGTGATAAAAGAAGAGCTACATGGTCAGAGAAATCTGATCAGCAAGTAAAGTCCCATGACTGAAGTTGAAAAGACAACACACCCAGGTGAAAGGGAGAAGACATATGATGTTGGTGCAAGAGTGACCATGATGGAGATAAAGAAAGAGGTGCTCTGGATGCTAATTGGTTGAGAAGAAGAAACCTAGACTGAGCTGGCCAAAAAGGTGCTACCAACAGGACCTAAAAATAAGTGTCATGAATCAATGTTAAGACATGTGAAAGAAGGTGAAGAGAGTACACATACAGAAAGTGATAAGACCAGTCCTGGTTGAGGGCATTCACAACAACCAGAGAAGCTGGGTGAGGTACCAGGAACAGGAAGAGGGAGAGTGTGATACTGGGAGGAGTGGCAAAGACAATTATTATTGGCATGCCCAAGTTGGGACTGATCAAACAAAAGACATTTGGATGGAGTGAACACTCCATAGAAAGAATTCTATCTTTTTAAGAGAGTCAATCCATCACAAAGTTCAAAACTTCTGAAACATGACAAGATGGCAGATGAACCTGATGTGAGCAGGCCCAAAACAAAAAGTCTAAAATGCAAAAAGGGCTGCAAAGAGTACCAAAAATTAATGTGGAAGGTATGCTTCGCAGGAGATTAAACCCCAAGGCCAGAGAGTCATCTAGAGACACGCCCAATTCATAACAGATGTGTCTGTGAAGATATAAAAATCTGGAGGTATGGAGGAGGCAGCAGTAGGATGTTGACCATAGTGTTGACATGAATCAACCACCAAAACAGATCCTCTAGAGAAAGCAGCAGCATAACAAGAGGGGAAAGTGAATCTACTGGTTGATCAAAGTCCATTAAAAAGCCTCATGTAAACCAAGTCTAGATGGACAAAATGTTCTATGGATGTGAGAGTTTCCAGAAAAGATAGAACCCCTTGTTCAGGAAGTATTAGAGGTAAGAGTCAAGGTGACTAGATTCTCCATGCCTTGCAGCCAAATTGGGGAAGGTTGAGCCCCCTTCTTTGTGAATTGAAAAAGACTCCAAGGTAGACCAAGTACCGAGTCAGAATCAGGAATGGCTTTTGAAAACTTGACCAGCCACATTTTGAACGAGAGGTCATGTGGCCAAGAGGCAAATAGGAGCCAATCATCCATATAATAATGGATAAATATCCAAGATTGTGGGCATGAAAAGCATACACTCCAATTACTTGGTTGAAAACATTAGGAGTTGAAGCAAAACTAGTATACCCAATCCAGATGAACAAAGTAAAGAAAACAGCAGGAGGATGTGGCATCAGAATATTTAGAAAGGCATCTGAGATGTCAACCTTGGCCACCCACAGTCCAAAGGAAAAGGACTAACAGAGAGGAAGAAACCCCTCCATCTTGAACTGAGGAACAACTAGAAAAGAAGACAGGCTAAGACAGGATACTTGTACATGGTCTTTTTTGGGGACAACAAAAAATACAAGAATAAAACCCTGGAGAGGGGCAAACAACCTGTTGATGGCTCTCATGTCCAAAAATCTAATATCACAGTGTCAAGAAGCAGAAAACACTGGGGACTGGAAGGAAGAGGTAAAAGAACAGGAAAAGTGGACAGAGGAAGAAGAGAAAGGCCATGTGTAAATAACTTGAATGACCTACCGGTCAGCTGCAAAAGAAATCCATAGGTCTGCAAACAGAAACAGATGTACTCCTATGGGACCTGAGCTGACAGAGTACAAAGGAATGGAGGCACCAATGGAATGTGCAATAGCCAACCCAACAGAAGGGGGATGGCAAGATACGGTAGAGGGACGAGAAATGGGAAAAGAGCAACGAAGGATTCATGGAGTTGAGAAATGGGAGTAGACTCATGAGGATATGAGAGATGAAAATGATGGAAGAAAGAGAGGATTGATGTTGAAAAGTCTTGGCCCAAGCCTCCAAGGTGTTAGGAACACATCTGAAGACTTCAGGGTGAAGAAAAAGATTCAGACAGAAAACACAAAGGTAAGCATGGGAAAGACAAACAGTAGAGAGAAGATTGTCACATCCCAGAAGATCCCAACAGAGAAAACATGCAAGCAGTGACAAGGTAGAAAATGAAACCCTAACTAAGCTATTGATAAGGAAAGGCTGTAGATCCCCAGAAAACCCATCAGAATTATGGTGTAGAGCTTCACATAAGAGAAGAAGAGAGGACAGGTAATGAAGGAGATGGGGAAGAAAAAGGAAAAGACAGAAAAATTAAGCACTGGAAAGTGTTGCTGGAGATGGGGTCAGCACCCCAAGTGGGTAAAAGGGATTTCACAGATATTGGGAATCCAAGAAAGGAAAAAGGGGAATGGCTTATAAGCCATGGCAAAAGAATCCAGGAGTTGAGAAAGACAAGACATTTGAAAGTGGAAATGAAGCTGATCTAGGAACATGTCAACATGGACACATATCTCTGGAGAAAGAGGAAACATCAAATAATCCTCTGCATGACAGACATGTAGTTAGGAATGGGAAGAATAAAAATACATAGGAAAAAGGGAAGGTAAAGAAGAAACCAGTTTAATCAAATCTACAAAAAGGTTTGAAGGAGTAACATTTTCCTCAACAGGTGAAGAGTAGCCTATTGCAAACCCAGGAGGTGGAAGTAGCTGACCAAATTTGTTATCCTCATGGCAGGGTTAAAAAAAAGGAGAATGCAGCTCTTCTGATATAGGGACTGGTAGATAAGACAGGAAGGCAGCAGTTTACCCATGCCATGATGAACCATATCAGTAAAACTGTCAACAGTCAGTGAAACTCTAGTGGCCACAGACATATTGGGGGCAGAGTCACCAACACTGCCAGAATCACCTGAGAATTCATGGTTGAGTAATTCACAAAATCAAATTTTTTAAATTTTCTTTTACTTAGTGGTGATGCAGTTTTAAATCAAAATTAAAAAGAAACTAAAAGGAAACCCACAGTAGTGGGTAGTGCAAATCTCACAATGTTAAGTTTAAGCTTAAAGAAACAAGTCCATTAAAGACAGTGCTGAGGATAAGAATTAAGTTAATTTCAAGTACAGGTGCTATTGTGCAAGGAGGATGTGTTACCCTCATGTTAGTGGAGGGCTGTTCTCATATGATGATTAAATCTTGTAGTAGAACAGTTCACATCAATACATTGCTTAGGTAGGAGATAGTTCGAGGCTAGTGGCCTGCACAAAATCTTGAAGGCAGATGCAACAGGAATAGCAACTGTGTGCTGAGATAAGTGAATCATTTTGGAAGTTGTATTCTTTATTCTTAAACTACAGTAAGTTATCATGAGTTTCACCATTTTCCAAATCTCACATATTTGCACACTAAGAAACTGGCAACATCTAAAAGTTTCTGTGTCATGTATGATTTGAAGGTTGTAGGCTAGTGCTCTACAGAAACTATCTCTTTAAAATTATTTACATTTATTTTGTCTATAACAGAACAAATGTAAATATTTTCACACACACACATTCAAATAACCATGATACAGAGAATTATCTTCTAATAACCATCAATGAACTCTTAGTTAAACCATTCATCTCTTAGAAGTTTATTCAGAGTAAGTAATATAAATACCATTCTAACTAACAAAAATAAAAATTTTATGCTTCCATATCCAATTATGAATAACATAACCTATAAAAATTTACAACATTATGATACCAATTTAAAGTGTATAAACCATTCCAGTTGAAATAAAAAACAAAATTTCAAGATAACAATAAGTGACAATGGACAATTTACTAAGCATACATTTTTGTCCTAGAACAAAGAGGTCAAATTAAAAATGTAACTAACAATGAAAAGCGATCAAAGAAAAAATGTAATTGATAATGAAAAACTCACAAGTTAGTAATAATGTTACTCCAAGTGAAAGAAAATCAGGATATTCAGATATTCCATGAAGATGAAGAGGGAGAAGTTCTTTCAATTTATTCTGTACTGAGTTATTGATTAGTGAGTCAATGTATCCACTATAACCTCTGGCTACTGAAGCTGTCCCTGAAAAACAGCAATAAAATTTATACATTTAGACCATGGCAGCTAAGAAACAGTGAAATATAATCAATGGTATGTGTAACTACCAATAACTAATAACTAAACTATTTCATAAAACGTTCCTCTTTTTATTCACATTAAGGCACCATCTGAAACATAAGAACATTGCTCCACTTCAGAGAGAAATAGTGTTTAAAATTCAAATAAATTCACAACTTCTGACTTATTAGAAAGAGTCTCCTTCTCCATAATGACCTTAATCCCAACTTGCTAAGGGTCAGCCAGTAATTTTACATCTGGGTGGTCAGCCCAGATGGCAACCATAAGGACTAGCATGAGTCTAGAACATTGACTGCCACAAACAATAGTCTTTATGTCTGAATTATGGTTTCTGTTACTAAATTCTTTAGTTCTTATAACTAAGATAATTCTTTAAACATAAAAGCAAAACAAGATTTGTTTTGCAGTTTCCAACAAAACTTAAAATACACAAATAAAGTTTCTAGCTTTGTTTTCAATGCAAAAACATGTGAAACATTAAGCTATTTAGAATTAATACATAATAAAACCATATGTTCCTATTATGTATTTTTAGCACAATTTTTTATAGTTTCAAATATTTAAAAACATGAAGTTTTATATTTTAAATTTAAATAGCTCATATTCTATCCATATTAATTCTTATTATCTTACTCTATTGTTACAATTCTGATTCTATTCAACAAATGACATGCATCAGCTTCAAATTCATTTTGTGTATTTATCATGTCAATGTATTCAAGTCAACAGAAGATTTGCACTAGTCAAGAAACAATTTTGTAATGCAAAATCAATAAAACTTACCTATCACATATTCCAGAATAAGGTTCCATCCTATTACAAATGCCATAAGTTCTCCAACAGTGACATAACTGTATACATAAGCTGATCCTGCCTTAGGCACCCGTGCACCAAATTCAGCATAACATAGCCCTAAAAAAGAGAAAGGATCTTAATTTTATTTACAAAATGTATGAAGTTCAGTAGTTTCTTTGTATAATTACTTGACTGTTAGTATCAACTATGAAAATTTACTTCACTTACATTACATCAAGTTTTCTTGTAACATCTTGTAGTTATAAAACTAACATCAATTCCTCTAAACACCCACAAAAAAATCTTCTGTTTGATCTGAAGGTTGTTTACAGATGCAGAACATAATCAATAAATTTATAATACACCTCTCACTTGTTCTTAACCTAAAAACCTAAAAAAAATAAAAATCAGCACAGTTGTATAATGTACAAACAAATCAAGAGTTTGCCGATATACTGTTAATGATATTAGTAAAAAATTTCCTAATTATTAAACAAGAAGGATTTCACGGCAACAAAAAATAATAAATAAAACTTAAGAGGCTTAAAAAATGTTGAAGTAAATAATTCACAAAAAGTAGTACAGCCCATTTAAAGTAGATTTAGAATCCATAGTCAAGCTACAAAAAGTCTCGCAATGAAAAACACTCTAGCCACTGATGTAACTAACAACTTGTTTAACTATAAATGCTCCAACAGCAGATCCAGCTAAGAACAGAAAACTTAATTATACTACCTAAGGACATTTTTATGAAGTTTCTAGCAATGCCTCTCATTAAATATCGCAACAAACTTGAAAATCTACACAAAACATCTTAACCTTTTTCTTCTGTACACTCACACATATTAATGAAAAACGCATAAGATGGTCATATAAACATCATACCATTTTGAATCCCCTGAATAAAATACCTTTTGTATAAGTTAATATATTAAAATAATGATCATGCATTCATTTAGATGATTCCAGATTCTTTCAAAAGTTAAATTTTCAGCTACCACCATCTATACTACTTTGATTGTATAAGAAAGAAACTTCTACATGTACTTGCAAGTATTGTTTTTACTTTCTAGTTGCAAGCCACACGACTTTCATGTTTGGAGATTTTCCTCTCTACTCATTATAAACAGGATTTTTAGTTTTGTAATGACAACTGATGTCCTGGCATAGACAATATTCTGAGGAATTTACTCTTCTGTTCATATTAACAGGTCAGATCTATTATTATCTTTTCAAAGTCCATAATAAGCTCTCTTAGGCATTATATAACAAAAATCCCTCTGTTCTCATTTTGAAAAGACATATAATAACTTTAACAATAACAACCTCTGCTTACAGAAATGGTAATATAGTTTACAAAGTACAAAATTTTTGCTAAAATATCATGTACATGATTCTAAAAAATTTAGAACAAATTTGACATGATGATTTTTTACTTGTAAATTCTTGTTTGTTCTTACTGTATATGACATTTCACTATCACAAGTATTTTACAGCTCTATCTACCCAGATTCAAGCTAAATACAGTGAATTCTGTGCCTGACTTAAATCCACTATGGAGTTACTTACCTGCAAATAGTGAAGCCACAGCTGCAACAGAAAATGACAATACAACTGAAGGGCCTGCTTTAGTACTTGCAACTTGGCCAGCCAACACGTAGATGCCTAAACCCAAAGTACTCCCAATACCTAAAAGAAGAGTCATATAATGAGTGTCAAATAGAGACACTGAGAAAGTTCTCTATACCTTTAAAATTTTCAAAGTAGATCATATATTACATACATATTTAAATTAATCTGTTAACCTGCTCATATCCCAATACATGTGTGGTTCATCAACTTCTGGTGGTTATATAGCCATGTTTGAAAATTGAAATATGTATACATTTGCTGCTTAATGGCTTACCAGAAAAATTTATTGCAACATTATTCCAATGTTGTATACAACTATCTTAATAAATAGCATCAGGGGCTTATTGGTAGCTGCCATTATACCCATTATCCAAGTAATCAAAATACTGCATTATAGTTTTCATTATCAATTTCAGTTAATTCAAAGTTGTTCAGATTAATTTTTCAATGTAATAACTCAGGAATATAGCTGAGGCAATTGAGTTTGTCAAATCCAGATGATTCATTCACATTCTAAATAAACATGACTTCATCTAAACTCTGCTATGAGGTTCTGTTTGGCATAAAGCTCTTGTATATGCTGACACACACACACTATGACACCATTAAAGTCCCATTGTGTATAAAAGGTTGACTGATCAGAATTAAGGATCACAAGGGATATCTGACTGGTCCCTAATCTGCACAGGGAGTGATTACTGTGTGCTCCTTTGATATTCTCAGCCATTCTTTTTATTTGTGATGAAGTTAATTATATCCAACTGTTTTACACAAGTGCAAACACAGAGGGCCCTGACTTAAAATTCATATTCACAATGAGAAAATTCCTGTAAGTGATGAAGAACAGACATTGTTGAACATGCAAGAAGTGGAAGGGGCAGGTTGTTCAAACACAGGAGGTCTTTCAATTTTCTCACTTTTCAGTAAGCTCCCTTTCAAAGCCCATTTCCCAGGACACAAATTTACTGGCCTAAAGACCCAACTCAATGAGAAACTGAACCCAGATGATTCCCCAAAGGCCTGGAGTGTTCCCCAAAACAGAGTGGATGGTTTGGCATATCAGCATGACCTCTTCCACAGGCATTTATTTCAAGAAAAGCTGAAAGTCACATAACTATTCTTTGTAAGATAAAGTTTGTCTGGGCAGGAAAGACAATCCATGATAAGGGTGAAAGTACCTAGTAAATGACACACAAGGAGATGAATACCATATATGTGTGCCCAAAATACAAGATCCGACATTCCACCACAAAGGGACTGAGAATGGGTGTCTCCCTGGTGATTGATGTACACCATCACTGTAGAATTGTTTGGGTGGATCATAAACAGAGGACTGCTGGCAAGATGAAGAAAATGATCCAAAGCATGATGTACAGTGAGAAGCTCCAGGATATTGATATGGTAAGACTGCTCAGTCAGAGACCGTTGACCTGAAGCTACTTGCTGCTTAACCAATGCCCTCCAGCCATGAAGCAAAGTATCTGTGAAAATATGTAAATCTGGACGAGAGGGAGGAAATGGAACACCCACTGATGTGTGAGCCTTGTCCAACCACCAATGCAGATCGTCTACAAGGGAAGGAGGAAGGGTGATAGTAACATCCAAGGGATCCCACGCAAGGTTTTATTAGTCATGAAGAGTCCATTGAAGAGATCTCAAATGAATACGACCAATGGGGATAAATGCTGCCATAGAAAACCACATTTCCAATAAGAATAGGACCTCACAAGCAGTAATAGAGGGAGCAGTAGAGGCATTGAGAATTTCCAGCTCTATCAAATGGAGTCAAAGAGGAGAAAGCAGGGACCGACTGAGATGAGTGTTGAAAAAAACACTCAAATGGATAAGATATTGCATAGGAACAAGGAAGGACTTCTCCAACTTGATTAACCAACCAACCCAAGCTGCCTCCAAATAAAGCAGACAAGCATGCTGAGTGGACTTCAGTTTGGAATGAGCCAATAGCAGCCAGTCATCCATGTAATGGTGTAAGTGTAACTCTTGAGTGTGTACATCTGGCAAAGGCAAACCACTAGACAGAAGACATATTGTGCTAAAGCAAGTGCAAAATTGATAAACCACCTTGTGATGATCAAACTGAAGACAGCGTCTTCACAGAGGAAATACAGGAATATGTAGATAAACATTAGAGATGTCTACCTTGGTCATCCATAAATGTGGATAAAAAGCTCACCTGAGGGTGAGAATTGATTCCATGGTAAAATGAGGTAGCACCAAGAAGTGACTGAGGCAGGGCAGATCAATCACAGGCCACCAGTGTCTGGTTTTCTTGGGTACCACAAACAGCCTGGAATAAAACTCCAGAGGAGGGTGAATGACAGGTTTGATGGCATTCTGAAAGAGAAAATCCTCGGACAGATGCTGACTTGTGGTCAGATTCCGAGGCAATGAAAAGGAAATAGGTATCCAAATAATGGGGGAAGGGAAAGGAAGCTGATGACAAGTTCCTCGGATAAAATCTGAAGAACCCAGAGATCCTTGGTAAACTCCTGCCATAGAGGAACAAACTCGGATAAACGATCTCCCCATGGCACCAGAACTCACAGGGTAGTCACCAATACTGTTGGCAGCATGACATTCTGCATCAAATAAAACAAAGAGAGGAAGATCCCTGAAGGAAAGAAAAGGTAGAGGATGGGAAGGATTAGGACAGGAAACAAAAATATGGGATGGTTGAGGCTCAGAGCAAGACAAACAATCAACCAACAAGGAAAGAGTCGATTGTTGTCTCGCTAATTACACTCTGAATTCCAAGGTCACCAGAAGACCTCCAAATACCAACTTATTGAGAAAAGGAACCAAACCTAAGTCTCAAAGATAAGCAGGTGGCAAATGAACTTGGGACAATATTGCATCTCTCCCCAAAAGATATCAACAACAGAGGAACCACATGTGCAAAGAAAGAGCCAAAGTCAACAAACATGCCAACACAGATGTAAGAAAAATCTCGGTGAATTGCAGTAGAAAGGAGGTAGATGGTGGACAAGTACTGTAGGATAGACGTGAGGGTAAGATGAAGGCAAGAAAACTGGGCACAAGATAAACGAACAGGATAATCAGGGTCTAATTACAATTTTTTTCACATATCACAGTTTGAGAATTCCTGCTGTAGCACCATCAATCTCAGAATTAGTACACTATGTTGCATATGGATTTTTGTACATTTTTAATTAATCTTAAAATGCTTACACTAAGTCATATGTACTATTGTTGAATGTTTTCAATCACTCTTAGAATCTTTAAATGTAACTCACATCTGGTATTGTTGTATAAAGTACTATGTTTTTATTATAAGTATATTCCATGATGAGATTAAATACAAGTTCCAGCAAAATGCTAAAGATCAATCTTGATCTTGTATTGGGTAATCATTCTAGAGCTTAGTTAGATAGCCAAAGAATATAGAGTTGTTCCTTCTGACTCACATCTCTGAATGGGAAACTTATCTATCAGGACAAAAGTTTACGAAGTCTGTTCAGTTAAGAACAATGTTTTTTTATCCAGACATCAAGTCTCATGAAAAATTCCATATCACTCCCAAGTTTGAGGTTTGTGTTTATGCTAGTAAAAATAATAATAACTCAATACGAGCAATTTGTTTTTATTGACAGCTTTTCTAAAATCCAAATTTTTAGGTAATTCTGCAAAATCACCAAAAACAACAGGTTTTATTTGCAATTATGTCTAAAGTACATAATATTACACATTAGTATCTTACTGTTAACCTCTTGAACAAAATAGGAACAATTTTAATATTATTACATTGGGTGTAGTTATCAGATGAAGTCTAACAATAATAAAATCATAACTCACATACCTCATGTATGTTATAAAGTATACAAAACTGTCAAAGATGGCATCAGTTAAGTTCGCATTGCTACAACTACTTAGCTTTATCATAAAATATTATTTCATGATAAACATATTATTTCAGTAACAATTAGTTTTAGAAGGTTTAAAGTAGGTTTCACTCACCTAAAGCAGTTAGATCAAAAACTGAAAGACATCGATGAAGACTGGTTTCTTTACAATCACTACTGGAAAGTTGTTTTTTTCGTAACAATGCCTTCACAAAATTTCTGATATTCATAGCTGGTTTTGAAGAGAACACAGATAAACTGTTATTTATATATCTATGTACTCCTGAAAAGCATAATTGTTATAAAACTTCTTAATTTTCATGCAACAGAATATTCACCCTTATATATATACATCAATTGTGAAGTGCTAGTGATATTCAATTAACTCAAAAAATAGGGTAATATTGAGGAATTTTTCCTCAGTTATTTTTCGTTTTTCTTATTATGTTTAGGAGTAAGCCAATTTTAAGCTGTAAATAAATTGCTATTTCACTGGTAAGCAATCTAATCTTATATTACTTATATATAAGAACCATAAACTGTTTAAATAAATGGGAGAAACTGTGAAGTGTGTTCAACAGCATACTGCAGCTTGAACCTTGGATCTCCCGATTCACAGCCCAACAACCTATTTATGAAACTACTCTTATACAATGGAATGTAATTTAAAAATTATGCTTTATGAACATAATGACATTCCAAAGATTCATACAAACTAAGCAAATAAACCAGTTTTTACAAATACAAATTCATCAAATTCCATATTCATCAACAACCTACAAAATATTATAAAGTCTGGTTAGTGTTAAATCCAGAGTTGATCAGTCAGTTAATTGATTGCTTATTTTTTGACAAGCCAAATAATCTTAAAAACCTATATTAAATAACTTACCATATCCATATATTAGTCAAGGTTTTTAGGATAATTTTTAGACCTCTATGTTCCCCTACCCTCTGCTTACAGGAAAGTCTTGGAATTACACTCCTACTAACAGACTTCAAAATGAACAAATGTTCAATTTAAACAATACCAAAACTATGCTTATTTTGTGACAGTTTAATATTCTTACCTTTTTTACACAGTAAATATTATATATTAATATAATGCACGAGTTATACAATGGCATGTTATAATATCTTTCAATTTCATGTAGCCAACAATTATAAGTTTTTATAACTTGCAATATAACTTAATAACAATAATGACATACTATAAAAACAACAAAAAAAAACACTTAGTTAGTATATAGACTAGTAATATTATTTATTTATGATACACAACATCAACATGGTGCTGGCTTTTTGTTGTTGTTTCTTCATTTCACATAAATTACATGATTTCTATTCAGTAAAATGCAATACATGCATTTTTTTACTGGTGAAATGCCCGACTGTTTGAATTAATACACCTACCTTTTTAGTGTTATGTACCTCCATACCTCAATTTAGCATTATTATATTATCTCTACTATCACTCATACATGTTCACACAGAATTGTGAATTCTGTGATAATTGATTCTATGACATATTACAACATTAAAACAAGCCATCTAAAGTAATAATCCATATATCAATATTTTCTTATTCTACATTATTAAAAAGTTCAAAGATAAGTCATTAGCTTCACGGTATTCAGTTATCAAATTTCTCCTCAATTTCTGAACTTACACAACACATACATCACAACTAAACTGAAACATATTGGAATTTCCTAATTTTCTAAGTAGTTTACTTGCACAAAAAACCTCCATGAGCTACGTGCTACACTTCTTTTACAAATTGAAATAAAAAATAAAAATTGTACCACACTTTTTTCAACAACTACAACTAGCCCCTCCCCTCTCCTAAATGGTTCATGAAATTAATAGAAATAATACTCATTTATAATTTTCATTTTAATATACTCCAGTATAGGATACTAAACTACAGAGAACAGCAAGTTTGTACCACAAGGATATAATGTATTTCTCTACAGGCTTTATGAACTTTAGTTAGAAGTTGTACAATTTTATGTGTAGGACAGCCAATCATGATTTACTTCAATTAAACACCTACTCTACTTATAATAATTTCATTATCTCTAGAGATTTCTCATAATAAACCAACTTAGTCTTTGCATAAAACATATACAGGACTCTTACAAATATAACTTTAAAATCTGATACTTCATTCACAAGTATTATAGAACATAAATGTACTGTCTCCGGTGAACATTTAGTATACCAATTATTTCCAGGTTAAAGGGTTAAATAATCAGTATAACTTGGGTGCATTTGCTCTGCTTATTTCACATATTAGCTAATTGTTCAAATAGTGCAAATTAATAATCGTATATATACACACACACATGTTGTTCCTAAAGTGAACAAATTATTTTATACACAGAGAAACTGCCCCCTTAAATTATCTAAATAGCACTCCTGATTCTGGTATGATTTTATTAGGTGTTAGAGACCTCTGGTGGTGCATACAGACATGGTTAGAAATTTAGCACAATCTAGGTTACAGAGTTTCACTCAAGCATCATATGTTAGAGCAGGCTGATCAATGGTTTTCTACTTGCAAATTACAACAATTTGTTTTAAAATGAATGGTTAGTTACAGCTTCCATACATTCTTGCTCTTTACAGCATTTTCTTATTCATGTTATGCCAAAACAACACATGGAAGATATAAGACAATTGCAGCTTAGAATCTCTAACATGACAATTAATAACACTTGTCAAACAATTCATACAGAAAATACAATTTCATTATCTCCAAATTTAATATGGCTTATCAAACGAGGTTTCATGTATGCAAAACAAATAGAATAAACAGGTAAAAAATTTTAGTCTACATTATACAATTGGGAATTTGAAGCAGTAGTGGTGCATGTACTGAAAATTTACTTGCAATGCAAGGTCCATCTAGTTCATCAAAACTGAAAACACTACAGTGTACTTCCTTTCTGTTAAAGCACTTCATTATTCCTAATTTACATCTAAAAAGCATAGTGAGATACAGCAAATACTAGATACATCAAAAATACCCTGTGCATTAACAATTCTATAACTTTAGTACCAAACTGTTATATTAGTAATCTAGTAAATGTATAATTTTTGTGACAAACAGCATGTACTAAACTGTATTCACCAGATTTGCTGTATAGATATTAGTAATGTTAACATATCCATGTCAGTTGGTAAACAGGAACCAAGTTTCTAGAGAAAATACAAGATAAATGTTAACACTAAATCATATACTTAGGGTTTCCAGTAACCTTAGTATTTACAATCTAAAAAATCAAAATGTTAATGCTGAAATGTGCAGTTTTTTATATACAAAAAAAAAAGCAAGAAACATCTAACTTCCTTTGCAATCAGCACAGTTGAATAATTTTGATAAAAGAATTAGTTAACTCTAAATTTTGTGAAATGGCATAAAAATTTGTTAATCTGCTGACAACAGAACATCAAAAACGTTTGTGTAACTTACGTGAACTCACCTTAATATTCAAGGTGTGACATAATTTTTCACTTCATATGACTTTATGCACTGCTGTATAAAATACTGGTACAATTACTGTAGTGTCTTTAACTAATTGTAATATTAATCAACATCTGCTCTCTGGACATTTGTATAATCTTTGAATTAATGACAGATCTTTAAAACAAACCTTTATTCAAATACTTGGATTTATAAATCACATCAATACTTATTTAATAACAAATGTACAGCTTGGGGAAAAAGTTTTATTCAAGTTAAATAGACAATAAAACCTGAAGTACTGTTATTGTTGTTTCTTTAAAAATAAAAATAGTACCTTAAATACACAAGTTCAAAGAATCTTCTTCTGTGTGTGTGTATATATATACACACACACACATACACACAGAAATGTTAAACATTAGAAGT